GTGTGTGTGTGTGTGTGTGTGCGTGTGTGTGTGTGTGTGTGTGTGTGTGTGTGTGTGTGTGTGTGTGTGTGTGTGGCAGCATTCAGTACAATCGGTGGGAATGACACTGTGTGTGTTTGCATGTCTGCGGGCAGCAGACGTTGACTGTGATGAGCACGCGTTTGGACAGCAGACACATGGCTCTCTTAAACACACTACAATTGCAGAGAGCTCGAAGCACAGCCTAATATCACTTTATTTCTGTGTGTGTTCAGTGTACGATTTTATATTTTTGTTGTGCATTACAATGAAAGGTGAATAATAGAAGTACTCATTATGGAGTGTGTGTGTGTGTGTGTCTCACGCATGCTGAGGTGAGCAGCAGATATCTCTCATTAGTCGGCCTCTATTGTTAGTGTTATCTGAGGCTGACTGATCTAGTGTGTCTAGGGGTATTGTCTTTTTACCCTCTCATCTACTTGTGTAAGGCCCCCTGGGTCTCTCTCTCTTTCTCTCTCACACACACACACACACACACAAACACATATACTGTAGAAGCAAATGCACACACAGACCCATAGTTCAGCCTTTTTCACTCACATAAAGAAAAGCAGCAGAAATCTCTTAGTGTGTTATTTAGCAAATGCTATTAAATCAAGGGTAAAGGAAAGAATTGTCTTTTCTCCAGGTGCCACCACACCATGAGTTACACATTCGTCTTCACCTTTAAAGAGTCCAGTATAAATCCCACATGAAAACAAGTCATCATCTTTCATTTTTAGCTTTAAAAAGCATTTTTATAAGAGCTGGAGCCTAAAGCAAGGCCAAAAACATTCTCTGTGCAAACGTTAATACTTAGCAAGTGCAGTTCCATTAAAACATTCATTGTTGTGATGGTAACAAAGCTCAGTACCAAGCTGTTATAAAATGTGTTTTCAATCATCATTTCAATAGGAATAAATGGGATCAGGAACTTCATGTGAGGGTGTAATATTTATTCACACAGATTCCGCAATGGTTTCAAACTGGTCAGGTTAATTCACTGCACTCACAATATGTGTGGGCAACTTTTTCACCCTCATGTGAAACTCCCGATCACAGATTTGTATTAAAATTACAGGATTTTGCCACCAATATCGTAGAACAATGGCAGATGTGGCAACACCTTTATTCAGGTAGCTACCTAATTTCTGCCTCACTAGCATAACCAAATGGAGCAAAAACAACTGTTTTCAAACAGGTTTCCCGAATAGAATATAAAATAGTCCGGCTTACATTTTAAAGGGGTCATATGATGTTGTTAAAAATAACATTATTTTGTGTATTTGGTGTAATGAAATGTGTTTATGCGGTTTAAGGTTCAAAAAACACATTATTTTCCGGGCTTGCGGCAACCACATGTGACGACCCCGAGCTGGACTCCACTTCATCCACGTTGAAAGCCGATCTGGCGATCCATAGCGCGAAGTTGATGTATTTTGCTCAGCGACCAGCACGGATCAGCTCTAGGCATGACAAAGCAGATATCGTCCTCTTTTGGATGGCCAAACAAAGTAGTTCCGCTTTCACAACGAAACACACAGCGTCTTCACGACATGGCGGCGGCAGCAACAAGAATACTACAGCGAGAATCAAAGTTACGCCTTCTTTCTTTGCGTGAACATTTGGGCGGCATTATGCAAATCTTCCCACATCGTGATGTAGACATGTGGGAGCGTGTTAGAATGAGCCGTTTTAGGTAGGCGTGGTTGACT